GTGTGCACAGACTATACGCACTGTACACACGCTGTACCGTATAATACATACATTGAGTCCATAGACAGTCATGTAATAAATATACGTATGTCTGGGAGTCTTGTCTCGCAATCCTTACCCACAATATATATAACGCATACATAAAAGCATACAAACGTCTGGAGACCACAGTTTCATGAATACATACATACCTTCCCCACTATATCGCAGACATCCACACAATGGTATGTCTCGTCCTATCCATCAAATACGATACCATTGCCGCCAACATCACCAACACTTGCCATACCATACATACAAACCACGAGTCGACTTAAATGTATTATTAAATCCATTTGTGATCACAATTAGTGTTAATACATATAACCATGATTTATAAATGATAGAAATGGCGAACATTTAGCCGTTGTATCGGTTGGACAGTAAGCGGAGAGAGAGTGAGGGGTCGGAGGGGTTGGTGTGTTGTGTTGTAGGGGTTGTGAAAGTGTGTGACATAATTGTTGTGCCGAAAAGCATTGATTGTTGTGTGAGTGTTGACTGTCTGTGTCTGGGATTGAGGTCTGTCTGAACACAACTTCAATGACCTTCTCGTCGTTCAACACAACACATACTAAAACTCATCTCATATTTGAGTCAATTCTGACGAATACGACGACAATAGCGGCCAATCACTGGACGGCCCGACACTCGCAGCCCAACCATAATGTGTCCCACAATTGACTCAATCTATCGGTGAATCGTTGGCCGAGTTTTCGGTACAAAATCGTGTGAATTGTGTTGTTTTTTTCGGCACAACTTTTTTGTCCTCAACTGTGATATCAATTCAATTGATTTGTTGCTTATTTTCAAATATACTGTTATATTATATATACATAGAAATTGTGACTACATTTGTATGACAAACAAATGTGTGGCCTCTCGTCGCTGGACATCACTTTGTGGTAAGTGTTGTCCCGAAAACATACCATTCATTTCATACAATCGTTAGTCAAATATGTATTGCCTGTGAATCTGGGCTCAAATGAGTGCTATTTTTACCATTTGTTGCAATCATTTGAACAATTTTTGGACACAAAAACACAGTTTGCAAATCAATGACAAATTGATCGCATCTTTGTCTCCACTCCTTGTCTTCATTTGATATTTACGTTATGAACAGACAGACAGAGTATATGTTCAATGCTTTTAGTATTTGGTTTATAGTTAATTCTTTGAGACAAATATTATTTTAAAAAGCGATTTATTATAAGTGTTATTATAAATGTTGATTGTATTGAGTTATGTCTTACAGTGTTTTTCCCAACAATTAATTTTATAATGCATTTTAAATGTACGTAAATATTGCCCGAAAACTAACTTTATTTTTTAATTTAGTTTTTATAGATTAATATCGACTTAAAAGTTGATTAAATAATAAATACAATTAATGGCCAAAACATTTGTCTAATCTGTCGGACGTTAAGCATCACTAATAATAAAACTAACTTTATTTTTTAATTTAGTTTTTATAGATTAATATCGACTTAAAAGTTGATTAAATAATAAATACAATTAATGGCCAAAACATTTGTCTAATCTGTCGGACGTTAAGCATCACTAATAACTAGCGATGGATAGTCTTATGAAGACCTATCTTATGGCTATAATCTTCATTGTTTACATACAAACAGGTATTTATTAATTTTAATTATTAAAATTGAATCAATTATTAAATTATAAATGTTTGGTGTATTGAATAGATGGAGATGTAGTGATGGCTTCAATGGTTTGCGCCTATTCTAAGCCACAGGCGGACACATCTGTAAGATCTGTCGCAACAGATAAGAGCACAGAATCTATTGATTCCAATGAAGAGCTCAATAACCAAAACGAAACGGTGATTGAGTGTCCGGCCGAACACCACTCGTGTTACACGTTATGGAAATATAATCCAATCGATCCGACAAATGCTAGTCTTTATGTAATTCTGGCCAAAGGTATTGTTTTATTGAAAAGAGTTAGTGTTTGAATGATTTCAATAATGTTGTATTTGTTGCAAAGGATGTTGGGATACGTCCACAAACACCGAGTGTCAAACCGAACAGTGCTTTTCATATAAAAAGCCCGTCGAGGCTCTAAACCATACAAAATTTTGTTGTTGTTTCGGCCCTCTTTGCAACGCCAACCTATCGGCCGATAGTTATTTCAATACACATCAACCCATACAACCATTTGCCAGATATTCTAATGGTATGTATTTATTCACTATTCAAAGCTATGATTCAAATCAATAACTAATATATTGTTTTGAAATCTATTTAAAGAAAAATTAAAAGGTTTAGAAAATGAGAAGAATATATCAAACAAAGCAGTTATGGTCGCCTGTATGGCAGCTCTGATTAGTATTGTGTTACTTGTGTTGGGATTTACTGTCTGTTGTCGAGCGCTCAGCTCTTCTGTGATGAGTGCCAACACTAAACACAAGAACTCAGATTCACTTCATTTACTGGAATCCAATTCCTCGTCCACTCAGAGCTCTTCTATTGTTTGTGATTTAGAAAATATGAAATTAATTGAAGAAATTGGTAGAGGAAGGTATGGATCCGTTTGGAGGGGTCTTCTCAATGACCAGACAGTGGCCGTCAAGAAGTTTGGACCACAACATAGAGACTATTATTTGAATGAAAAAGATATTTATTTATTATCATATATGGAATTCAGTCATTGTTTGCCTCGACTTCTGGGTTTCCAAGAGCTCTGCACCGATGGTCGACACGAATACCAATTAGTGTTGAGTTACGCGTCGTTGGGATGTCTTCAGGACTACTTACGCAACAATACTATCGATTGGTTAACGTTATGTAAAATGATTCAAACGACAACTCAAGGGTTGGCGTATTTGCACAGCGAAGTCAACAAAGGGGACAGACGTAAGCCATGTGTCGCACACCGAGACCTGAGCTCCAGAAATATATTAGTGAAAGCGGACAACACTTGTATGATATGTGACTTCCAGTTCGCGATCCGAATCTCTGGTTCGGAATACTATTCGTGTGGCGAGCGATACGACTCGCAGACGGCGTCCCTCAACGATGTCGGGACTCTTCGATATATGGCCCCCGAAATACTGGAGGGAGCCGTCAATCTGCGCGACTGCGAGTCCGCTATGAAGCAGATCGATGTGTACGCTCTGGGGCTGGTGTTGTGGGAGTGCGCCAGTCGTTGCTCAGACCTATACCAAGGCGTCGAAGTGCCCGACTATAGGCAGCCGTTCGAGAAAGAGTTGGGTCTTCGGCCGTCGTTCGATCAAATGCAAGTCATGGTCACCAGACATAAGGCGCGCCCACTCTTTCCCGACATCTGGAAGGACAGCAATCCTGCCATTCGGTCGCTGAAGGAGACAATAGAGGACTGTTGGGATCACGACGCGGACGCCCGGCTCACCTCACTCTGCGTTGAGGAGAGACTCTTTGAATTACCGCTTCTGTGGGAACGCTATAAGAGTGGAACCATTACTAGTTGTGTCGGAACCATGTATTCCATGTCAACTCAATCTCATTTGCTGACCAACAATAACCAGAAGAACGCGTTTCGACTCAATGGCGGAAGTAATAGCTTTCATAACATAATTGGAGGCATTTCTGGAGCCATTCCTCTCGAACCGAACGATAAGATAACGAATGATTTGCAGACAAGTCTTCTCATTAATCGACTCGAATATCCCAATCATAACATAAATACAAATAATAATATAAATAATA